ACGAATGGAAGACGAATTTGGAGCTCCCAACAGGGGAAACTGTGATCCTTCACAATCCCAAGGTATTGTCTGAATGTAAAACTAATGGTAAACAGACACTTCTCTGTTCACAATTTATGTTTTGTCTTTCTCGTTGCATTACCTCAGCTCATGATGCAGTATCCCAGCAGCTGCAAAGAATTTCCCCCTTCCCCGAATGAACAGACTCAACCCAGGACACTAAAGAGAGGAACTGAGAATATTCCAGTAGAGATACCAGAGGGTGAGTGTAACATTATCCAAATCTATTTAAAATCCCAGTGACTTGCCATTTTATGTCATCGTATAGGCATGTTTCTGTTTCTGAAAAATGAAATACCTAATTTTGGCCAGTAGTTCTAAAGCAGAAATACTAAATCCTTCATGTAGGCAGCCCCAGAACGCATTGTGACAAGCTCATCCACGATGGCAAGTTGAGAGAAATGTTGATAACAGAGATACCTATTTCATTCAATACTTAAAAGATATAAATAAAAACATTTCGATGTAACTAATGGACTCTTCTCGCCCAATATTTCTCTGTGCTTTGTATTTTTCTTTGAAGTATCAGACAGTTAGCTTAGCAACATGCTAATACCCAACCCTCTTGGACTGTTTTGCCCATTATGTTTATGCTGTGTATTTTTGAAGTATCATACTGTAAGCTTAGCAACATGCAAATGTCAAACTCGGAACTATTTCACCCAATATTTGTGTGTACTGTGTAGTTTTATTTTTGATAAAGTATCATACAGTTAGCTTAGCAACATGTAAACATCTATTACAATAGTTGAGTCACTCCTAACGAGAAGCAGTATTTGTGTGGTGTTCACTTCAGTTAGGATGCTGCCTTCAAAGGTTGCTGTCTGTATAGTCCGTAGATGGCAGGGAAGCTCACTACATTTTTTTGTGGGTTATAGTGTGTTGCTAACAAGATCTGTCTTTTGTTGCTGTGTTTTTGTAGGAGAACCAGAGATAGTAGACCACCTGGT